GTTATAAAGTATGAATGTGAATGAAATTTTAAATTATCACTGATCAAATTTTTGAAAACGTAATGTCATATATTACGTGAAAGTTTGCTTGCGCAGAATTAAAGTGCTCATTGCAAGCTTATTGTACAGCGATTGACATCTAATTTGTGCTAAGTTGTAGATGAAAAAATAATTGAAAAACTGAATAGAATCAGTTAAACTCACAATTGAGATGTTTCTGATTAATAAGAATTAAAAATATGTCTTCACTTGAATCTTTTTCAGAAGTTTGTAAGAATTTCACATGGGCTAAAAGTATGCTTTTTAAATATTAATTTTAAATGATAAAAATTAGTACTGATTAAATTTGTTTGCAATTACAAGGAAATTTTGAATCTCTCTGAATAAGGTAAATGCAAATTAACTTAGACTAATTTAGAGTAAGTACTAAACTAACGAAAGGATTGAATGAATTTGGAAACTTCGTGAAGAACTTTTTTAAATTTTTAGATTAATTTGAGCATTTGGAAAATATTCAGAAGTTTTTTAAAACTTGGCAAAAAATGGACTTTTTTCTGTACGTTGAAAAATTCAAAACTACAAAAAAATTTAAATAGCAATTTTTTGTCATTTTTTAGTGGTTGTTTGACAAGGCAAAAATTACTCGCAGTTTGCAATTTTAAAACGAAAGTTAATCTCAGTACAGAACTATTTTAAAAGATTAGTTTATTTGCGTAATAATCAATAACAATAAAGATAAATCCACTCTATCAAGAGATTCCCGCTTATGACTTCTTGCTATGTAATAAATTTTAGAGATTAAAGCAGTACAGAAATTTTAAAGCGATTTAAAATGTACTATTTAAAAAGTAGCTAAGGCAAAAAAAGAAAACACGTGAGACAAAAAGTTTAGATCGCGAATGATGATAAATTATTAGGATTTTTAGCTCAAAAAGTATGAATGAATAATATTTAGTTTTTCATGATGTGTTTTCAATAATTTTAAAAATAATCCTTCAGTTGAGACTAATTTTTCAATTTACTCCAATTGTTCCATGCTATTTTCAAAGTTATCAAAATCTGTGATATGTTACAAGAATTACTTTTATAATTTCCGAAAATTTTTAGCCTTAAATAATATTTAAATAAGTGATAGATTGATGATAAAGTAGAACTTAGACCATATTTTAAATTGGAAATTATAGTTCACTAATTTGCCAACCTATTGTTTACTTCAAATAATAATTAGGTCTTCAATTTTATGGAGCTTAAGTTGTCAAGTTCTGAAACTTTTGAAAAAAATTTAAATTCAAAAATTGACAAAAAAACAATTAAGCTTGAAAATTAAATTAATTGCTGCAATCTACACTTAATTAAATTCTTTTTAAAATATCAATTTATAAGACTTAAAAACAGTTAAAATTATTATGAAAATTTTTATTTGAGACCAAGAATAACACTCGTATTTAGATTTTGCTTATTTTTCGTGAAAAAGTAAGCACTTCTAGACGATTATTAAGAATGAATGGTACGAAGCAAATGTAATCATTAAATTTAATTACTGCAATCACTTCACTTTGCCTATTAACAATAATGGAAACTCAGAGTTATAAAAATTGTCAGTAGTAATCAAATTCTTATTGAAGATAAAATTGAATTTTGTATGTAAATTAGAGCGATCAGTCTTTAAATACATGGTTCGGTCAAATTTAAAAGTCAGCAATTTCATCGATAGATTAAAAGAGTTATATTTAACTTATTAATCTTAATTAAATTTAAACAATCATTCCATTAGTAATTTAAATTTTCAAAAATTATAACTAATAAATGTAATCGGATTTATATCACCTGAATTTCAATAAAATAATTGTAATGCTATTTGAAAGCAATTACTAAACTTTTTGTTTTTTACACAAATAATCTTTTTTTTTTCAGAAAATCCACGAACAATGTAAAAATCGAAGAAAATGCAGAATTACAGTGAGAGCATCATTTTTTCCAAATGACCCTTGTCCAGACACATCCAAATATCTACAAATCTCATATAAATGTAAGCCAGGTAAGGCTAAAAACTATACACTGTTCGACTTTTCAAATATTTGTATTTAATTTGCATAAAATTATTAGCGCTAAAACATTTGTAAAATAAAATAAACACTTATGCAATTTACTAATGAATTGAATTTAATTACAAAAAGCTTAGCAATAGTTTGTTAATGTTATTCATCAGTAAATATAATAAGTTTGAAAACAGAATAAAGTAATGTGGTGAATTTCTTTTTAAATAGTTTAAATATTTTTTATTTGTTATTTGTTCAAATTTTGAAAGTTTGGCTACTATCTGAAATCTGCGCATCTATTTCAATTATGAAAAATTAATTAATAAAAAAAAATAAAGCTAGTAATGTTCGAAATTAATATGCAATACAATTAATCTATAACATTTTAACATAACCATACAATAACTAGATTAGTTTTGTGCAGTCATGCAATAAAATAAAAATGAATTTTAGTATAACTTTGTTAATTTTTCAAAACTAATTAGAAATAAATTACTTTCAAGTATCGTTTGACGATGAAATTTACTGTGAAGGGTCAATTATGCAGCTGACCTGTAAACAAAACAAGAAATTAGCTATTTATTCTGCTCAATATGGACAAACAGTCGAAAAGAAGGCAGCACACTGTGCAGTAAGCACTTCAGTAAAACAAGGTTACACTTACAGTATAATTAAATTTATCACTTATTAGTCTTTTATTTACTGATAAAAAACGATTATGTGTTATTTTGCCAAATAATTTTTCATTTTCCATTTTTTAACTTTTACTGTCGACATTGATTTTCAGTTAAGTAATAAGTTGAAAAATAATCTGAAAAATTTTTGAAACTTTAGAAGTAAGCTAATATTTTGCATATTTTTGGTTTATTTTGAGGGTTTTTACAAATTATACGTGTGAAAATAATTATGTAATTTAATACTAATATCTGAACGAAATGTCAGTTTTGATTGCGTATTTATGAATAAAAATAAAGGAATTTGACCATTGTAATTGCAAATAAATTAAAATTTTAATATTAGATAGTTTACTTCATTAATAGTTTTTAGAAAAGTGAATTAGACGTTAAATTTAAAAAAATATTTCTGTTTTGAATAAATAAATAAATGAGCAAACAACAATTTGTTATTAATATGGTTTGTATGCAGATTTGAATAAATAGCGTTTGAGAGGTCACTTCAAAAGTTCAAAAGTCTACAGAAGTCATATTATCATTATTATCACTAATATGCCTAAAAGTTAAAAAACAGATTAAACAGA